GCCCTACCAGGGCTTTCTGGGATCAGCTCCCAAATCTTCATCTTAGGATCCCAAGCTAAGACAGTACATCATGAGCCAAGGATTATGATTCAGATCCATATGGCACATTAACAAAACCTGAGCATATGCCAAGCCATAAAGCCTCAACAAATTTCAAAAGATTGAAATCATATAAAATATGTTCCCATACCAATTTCAATTAGGCAAGGTAACCTGGAAAATTCCCATATGTTAAGAAATAAAGAAATATAATTCTAAACTTTGAAAACATCTGATATCAATGAAGAAATCAAAACAGAAAGCTATGCCTCATGAAAAATGTAATACATACATCAGAAAAGAAAGAAGACTGAAAACCAATAAAGCAAACATTCACTTTAATAAAGCACAAAATAGAACACTAAAATCAGAGGAAACCCTGTTACACTGGTAAATGCCTGCGATCCCTACCAGGCTAAGGAAAGAGGATTGTGAGTTCAAGGCCAGCCTTGGATTTATAATGAGATTCTGCCTCAAAATAAATAACAAACAATAAAAAATTAATATACAAAATTAAAAGTACAAGCTGGGTACCAGTGGCTCACTCCTGTAATCCTAGCTACTCAAGAGGCTGAAATCTAGGATGTGTGAGTTCAAAGCTAGCCTGAGCAAGAAAGTCCATGAGACTCTTACCTCCAAGTAACTGCCAAAAACCAAAAAACAAACAAAGAAATGGAGCTGTGACTCAAGTGGTAGAGTAGTAGCCTTCAGCAAAAAACTCAGGGACAAGCTAGACACCAGTGGCTCACACCTGTAATCTTAGCCACTTAGAAGGCTGAGATCTGAGGATCACAGTTCAAAGACAGCCCAAGCAGGAAATTCCATGAGACTGTTACCTCCAATAAACTACTCAAAAAAGCCAGAAGTGGTGCTATGGCTCAAGTGGTAGAGTGTTCACCTTGAGCAAAAGCAGCTTAGGGAAAGCACCCAAGCCCAGAGTTCAAGCCCCAGCACTGGCACCAAATAGACAACCAGACAGATAGTACAGCAAAACAAGATTAACAATTACTGCTTACGTTGATCAAGAAAAAAGGGGATACAAATACCAGTGTCAGAAGAGAAAATTTACCACACTCTAGTGACTCACACTTGCACTTAGGAGGCTGAGGATATAGTTCATATATATCTGAGGTTATATTTCAAAGCTAGCCTGGACAGAAAAGTTCATGATACTCTTGTCTACAGTTAACCAAAAATCCAGACATGGGGGTATAGCTCAAGTGGTTGTGGGCTAGCCTTGAGCAAGAGCACAGGCCCTAAGTTCAAACTCCAATTCTGGCACACACACACACACACACACACACACACACACACATATACACGGTAAACTAATGTGAATATTATGAATTATTCAAATTTGTGGTTATTCAAAACCATAGGTAATATGAAGAACTCTAAGAAAAATACAACTTACCAAAACAGACAGAAAAAAACTATGCATTTGTTGTGTTAGTACACATGTGGGCATAAATTCTTTGCAGCCAAATGCCAGCCAGCAAGTAGTGGTCTCCAACCTCTGTAAAGTGTGTGACCCATGACTGCTTAAACCAATAGAATGTGGGAAAAGTGATCTTTGAGGTTTCCATTTTCATTCTCTTGGAACCCAGAGACCACCATCTAAGGAGGCTGTTCTAGCTTATTGAAAGAGAGGCCATAAAGAGATGCTCTCGGATGTAGGCTGGATCTCCATTTTGTCTTCTAGTTGCATTCGAGTTCACTCATGCAAGCATCCTCTCAAATCTGAGGGCTTTAATGTATAACCCAAGAAAACAAGCAGGTAGGAAAAAACCACCGGAACCAAGGCAGCCCTTTCTAGACCATAGATGCTGATCACAGCCCTCTCCACTCCACTCTCCTGTCTCAACCACATAGCATCTGGTGGCTTCTGCAAACTTAACTGGCTCCTAGACCAAAAGACCACTGCTTTTGTCTTAGAGAGTAATCCCTAGGACAGACTCCCAAGAGGTGGGATCATTTTTCCAAGCAGAACACAAGTGTTAGGGGGTTTTTTACCCTTCTTTTTTCTCCCCCTTTGTTATTTTATTTCAGTTGTTTGAACTCAGGGCCTAGTGTTTGCTAGACTAGTTGTCTGCTATTTGAGCCATATTCCCCAGCTCGTTTTAGGTTTTTAAATGTTTCCTTATTCTAATTTCCAAAGGTTGAGAGTCACCTAAAAGCAGGAGCAACAAAAAGTCTCTGTGGAGGTCATAGGCATTGTTAAACTAAAACTCCACTAGACAAAGGAATTCCTGAAATAAAGGGGTTTATTGAATCATTAGCAATGGTAGGATCAGGGACTGGGACAAGCTCCTGCAAAGCCCAGCAGCAGGATTAAGTAGCACTTGGACAATGTCAGCTGACCCAGAATTAGAATTTTTTTGTGTGTTTGGGAAGGAACGCACTGTCACTCCTGTTGCCATAGGGTTAGAGAGGTGTGATAACACATAAAACATGGGGAGAAGCCTTGGGATAGGGCAGAAAGAAGTTATTGCCCGGCACTTGTGGCTCCCGCCTATAATCCTAACTATTAAGGAGGCTGAGTTCAAAGCCAGCCTGGGCAGGAAAGTCTGTGAGACTCTTATCTCCAATGAACCACCAGAAAACCAGAAGTGGCACTGTGGCTCAAGTGGTAGAGTGCTAGTCTTGAGCTGAACAGCTGAGGGACAGCATCAGACCCAGAGTTTGAGCCCCATGATCGGCAAAAAAATAAATAAAAATCTAAAAAGTTCATGAATAGCCCTAGTGGTCTGATAAAATGCAATTTGAAGTTCAAATGTAAATTTTTCCCCCCACCCAGCTTGTACTTGTTAAGCTCTCCCTATCTGTCCCTGCATTCTAGGTAGTTAAATTCAGGACATTTTGGTTTTTGCCAGTGCCATTCCTAGGGTGTTGTCCTTGTGCTTTTTTGCTTAAGGATAGAGCTCTATGACTTGAGCCATAGTTCCACTTGGGGCTTTTTGGCAGTTAACTGGAGATAGGAGTCTCATGGACTTTTGCCAGGCTGGCTTTGAACTACCACCCTCTGATCCCCGCCTCCTGTGTAGCCAGGATTACAGGCATGAGCCACCAGTGCCTGGCAACATCTTGGGTTTTTTTCTTATCTGCATACTCAACTCAGTGCTCTGGAGTCTCTCCTACATACTTTTCTGTGTTCTGCTTTTTGTGACCTGTACCTACTGAAGGAGCCAGCAATCAGTGAGCTGGGTCTGAGTAGCTTGAGAAAAAAATAGTAAGCCAGAGTTGCTCAAATACCCTCAGCATCTCTTCTGTATGCTAAAGTCTACTTGTCTGATCCTAAAACTAAGTTAGCCCTCTTCTGCTGGCAGTAGCACTCTGGCTCATACTGGCCAAAAATGCCAGGTCAGTGAGCATGAAATGTCTTTAATAATAGATGTAAAGTTGGTGGACAAGCACCCTAATTTCTTCAACCTTTGGTCATGTAAATTCTATGAAGTTTCCCAAAGGTCCCCAATGGAACTGAGCCCATAACTCCTAAAACGAACTAGTTTTGACAAGGTTTTTTGTTTGTTTTTGTCAGTCATGGGGCTTGCACTCTGGGCCTGGGCACTGTCCCTCAGCTCTACAGCTCAAGACAAGCGCTCTACCACTTAAGCCACAGCGCCACTTCCAGCTTACTGGTGGTTTATTGAAGAGTTTCATGGCCTTTCCTGCCTAGGCTGGCTTTGAACTGTGATCCTCAGATCTCAGTCTCCTGAGTAGCTAGGATTACAGATGTGAGCCACTGGTGCCCAGTAATAATGTACTTTTTATTGGCTGTCTTGTCTCCTTTCTTCAGGGATACTTCTGGGTTCAAATTACAGTCAAATTACAAATAGACTATCTTCAACCCAATTGTCAGAATTGGTTTTCTGGGGGGAATGAAAACCTAGACAGTAGTACAGTGTGTGTGTGTGTGCGCGAGAGAGAGAGACAGACAGACAGACAGAGAGAGAGAGACAGAGACACAGAGACAGACAGACAGACAGACAGACGGACAGACAGACAGACAGAGTGCCAGTACTGAGGCTCCAACTCCTAGCCTAAATGCTCGTCTAGCTTTTTGGTTCAAGGCTCGCACTCTACCACCTGATCCATACTACCACTTCAGGATTTTTGTTGGTTAATTGGATGAGTCTCTTAGATTTGTTTGCACATGCTGGCTTCTAATCAGGATCCTCAGATCTTGTGCTCCTGATGAACTAAGATTACAGCTGTGAGACACTGACACCCAGCTGCAGACTTCTAAGCCACATCCTTCCAGGCAATTGTTTTCAATATGACCAATATTTTCATCTCTATTAGCCAAGTCCTGTTTCTGTTGCTCAATAGTTGTCAACTGAGCAAGGCTATTTATTACCACACCCCCTACAAGGAAACTCTGTGAAGATTTGGTGGAGTCAAACTGAGAAAGGACCTTTCCCATATAACAACAGGAGGCAAGGAATGACCTTTTGGCAGTGTTAATGAGGAAGGAAGTCTGCTGTGGAGACTCAAACTATAATCCTAGCTTCTTGAGAGGCCGGATACTAGGGGATCACAGTTTGAGGTATAAAAGTTCATTAAGACTCTATCTGAACCAATGGCTGAATGTGATGGCATGTTATGTTTATGGGGAAAACACAAATGGTAGGATGTGGTAGTGAGCTTGTTATCTATCCCCAGCAACACAGGGAAACACAAGAAGGCTCACAGTCCAAGCAAGACTCTAGCTTGATAATAATAACCACAAAATAACCACAAAAAGGGGATGGAGGCATGGCTCAACTGGTGGAGTACCTGCCTAGCATGACACAAGGCCTTGAGGAGGAATAATTTTAACCTGGTGAACAGGAGAACAGATGGAACATCATGCTTCTCCTGGGCTTTTCCTTGGCAGACCAGGTCAAACTGTTAGTGGACCAATGAGCACGGTTTCTGCCCAATCAGCTTTCCTAGAGCCCCTCAGGTGCTAAAGGCAGGAGTCAAAGCTCAATAGTCTTTATTTTTGGGGAATCCTGATGTCCAGAGAAGCCAACCACCAGGGACTCCAAACAGCCACTCTGCAGAGGGTAGGTGCATCAAAGGGCCAGTGAATCTCATTCCGTTTTTCTGAAGTCAAGAGACCTTCACGAGGCAGGAAGTGGCTCAGCCTGTGGAGAAAACACAATGGTATCTACTGGTACCTCCTCTGTGCTTGGCCTTGGGACCACTGCTCAAGACATGCTGTAGACATTGCAAAGGCTAACCTTACAGAGCCCAGTCTGGAGGAAAAGGGTATCTGGCAATGACCTTGGTGATTTGCCAACAGAATAAATCAGCCATGCTAAGTTATTAATGGGAACAGGGCTTGTTTTTTTTTTTTTGTCAGTCATGGGGCTTGAACTCTGGGCCTGGGAACTGTCCCTCAGCTCTTCAGCTCAAGGCAAGCACTCTAACATTTGAGCCACTGCACCACTTCTGGTTTTCTGGTGGTTTATTGGAGATAAAAAGTTTTGGCCTTTTCTGCCTGGGCTGGCTTTGAACCATGACCCTCAGATCTCAGCCTCCTGAGTAGCTAAGATTACAGGCGTGAGCCACCAGTGCCCAGCTTATACATGGGAACAGGAAAGGCAACATGGACATTTAATGAACCCCACTGGGTGCCAACATTGTTACAGGTGCTGGGGAACCAGCAGGCAGAAACAGGAAAGACACAGACTATGTTTACTGGGGAGCTGGGAAGTTGGCTCAGTGGTAGAGTGCTTGCCTGCCTCATGAGGCCATGCGTGGGTTCAATTCCTCAGTACCGCATAAGCAGAAAAAGCCAGAAGTGGCACTGTGGCTCAAGTTGGTAGGGCGCTAGCCTTGAGCTGAAGAGCTGAGGGTCAGCACCCAGGCCGAGAGTTCACGTCCCACAACCGACAAAAAATTAAAAAAAAGTATGCTTACTGGGGCCAGAAGAAAGATCAGACTGAAACATAGAGGTGGGGTGGGTCAGAGATTATAGGTGATCCAGGTTTGCTGAATTTGAGAGCTGGATTGAGAGCTGTTTCCAAGCAGAAATAGAATAATTCCAGATTCACTCTAATCATTTTGGGACAATCAGGGAAAGGATTAAAAAGGATAAGACAGAACATGGAAGCCCAAGAGAAACCTAGTCTAGTGGTATGAGGAAACAGTGTTGCAGGGACAGAGAGGGTTCCATGGAAAGATGTTCCAGAGAGCTGGTTAAAGATATTAATTTTCTTATGGATGATAGTCCATAGGGAAAAGTAGGAAATATCTAAAGAACCATTTATCACTTTTTTCCAGTATTGCCTTCCAAGGTGACAATAATTAATTCTTCATCAAGAAAATTGTAATTCTCTCAGATATGCTGCCTGCTTATGTGCTGTGTGCATTAAAAGGAATGAGGTGGAAGGTATCAGCTTAGGGAAGAACATGGGGCACCCAGTAGGACCTGCGATTTCATTTTCAATGTGAGTGAAAAGCCACTGGAGTAATGTGACTAGATTACACACCACTGGGGGGGGGGGGGGGGCGGGGGCGGGTAAAGAGAATTGCACAAAGTAGGGAGAATACAAGGGCAGATATACTCTGCCAGGATATTGCCCATGTGGGAAAGGCTAAAATTGGAGCTAGGAGGTATGGAAGAAGAGACTATGTTGTGGTTTTTGGATGCAGAGGGAAGGCATGTTTGGAGTAGGTGGAGCTAAATACTTAAAAGATCTTTACCATGAAAAACTAGAAATAAGACAGAAGCTGTGAGGGATAAACAGTTGATAACAATCTGGCAAGCCTCTTTTACCTCTACAGTTGTGGGGGAAGGTGGCAGCTGCACCTGTTCAGCACACTGCAGGAAGCGGTGTATATGTTCAGCACAATTACCAACTGCTGCTTCATTCTGCCGAAGACACTCTTCAAAGGCCTCAAAAGGTTCAGCACAGGCCTGGCGGATCTGCCGGATGATTGGGCTGCGGAAATAGGGTATTTCAGACCCCAGACCACTTTGATTCCATTGTCCAGCCCTTTCCCCTATACTTGACCATACTCACTGGGAAGATGTGCACCGAGCAATGCTCATCTTAAGGTGATGACAGTCCCTCTGCCATGATTCCGGCTTGGCTGCCACGCATTGGCCATACTGATCCAGCTCACGGCCACAGTACCGAGCAGTGATTTCCAGGGCTGCCTGCCTGTGGTACAGAATAGGTGGAGGATAATTTCATTCACTAGGCAAGAAAGGTTCTAATCTGGCTAGGCAGATCTGGGGATCTTAAGAATCCTAGGGACAGAAAGGAGCAGAGATGAGACTTGGATCTTAGGAGTTGTCCTAAAACTAGGTCTGGTTATGCCAAGGCGGGTTTCTTAGAAGAGGCTTGGGGTTCATAATATTTAAGGGACCTAAGAGGTAGAGGGTCTGTGGACCTACGGGTTTCTTGGCCAGGAAGTTTGAGATGGAAGGAAAATACAAGAGTACTGATGTAATGGGCTGTGTTGGATTTGGCGGAAAGCGACTTGGGGGTCCTGGAAGTATGTTCTGGAAGCTTTGGATGTAGGACCTCTGGAGTCGTACTAGAGAATCCTCCAAGTGAGATTTTGAGGTTTTGGGGGACAAGGTTTGGGGGTCCGAAGCAAAGTCCTCCGGACCTAACAACACAACGGTGAGTACAGGGTCCTGGACATTTCTAGCAAACACAAAGGTTAAGGTTTGGTGATCCGGAGACAGGAACCCAGATCACGACGATAAGGCTTCGGAGTCTCGGAGGTTCTTGGACAAAGTCGGAGGACCAAGGTAATGGTTTTAGGAAGCAGCGGGGTGCGCGGCCGTGGAGACCGAGCGGACCGGAGGAAAGGCGAGGAGGGGAGACGCTGCCCGGGGGCCTGAGTGAGAGCTCCGGGTCCTTAGGGCCGGTCTGGGGCGCAAGGCCAGTCCTGGGGCTCCGGGCCAGGTCCTGGGGCGGGGGAACGGAGAGACGGCGCCAGCGAACGCGGGAAGCGCCCAGCTACTCACATCTCCAGGCCAGAAGCCGGCGTGCGGCCGGTCACTCAGGGAAGAACGGCCCGCCCCTTCCGGCTGTCATGGCGGCGCCCAGCCCCGTCCCCACGGATGCGCCTTTCCGGTCGCAGAGCAGACAGGTAGTCCCTTCCATTTAGGGTCAACGCGTCATGGCGGCGCCAGTGAAGCTACTTCCGGCCAGGCCGACTAGTTTAGCCACTTTTACTTCCGCCTTGCGGAAGCGGCGGGAGTACTGACTCGGAAGTGCTCCGTTGTCTCGTTTCCGCTGCAGGGACGGTCTCCGTAGGGTGAGCGGCCGGCGCCGGCGCGCGCTCTCGGGTCGGGGTTGCGGACGCGCGCCGCCGCCGCGACTCCTCAGCGTGCTTGGTTCGCGCTCGAGCTTGGAGGCGAGCTGGGGTGCGGGGTGGAGGCGTGGGGGCCTGGCTCCCTCCCCGCGCTTCCACGCGGCCCGGGGGATGCGGGGCCCTGACTCCCCTCCCCACCCAGCTATGCGGCCCGGGGGGTGCGGGGTCCTGACTCCCCTCCCCACCCTCCCACCCCAGCCACGCGGCCCGGGGGATGCGGGGCCCTGACTCCCCTCTCCACCCTCCCACCCCCGCCACGCGGCCCGGGGGGTGCGGGGCCCTGACTCCCCTCCCCACCCTCCCACCCCCGCCACAGCCCGGGGGGTGCGGGGTCCTGACTCCCCTCGCCACGCGGCCCGGGGGATGCGGGGTCCTGACTCCCCTCCCCACCCTCCCACCCCAGCCACGCGGCCCGGGGGATGCGGGGTCCTGACTCCCCTCCCCACCCTCCCACCCCCGCCACGCGGCCCGGGGGGTGCGGGGCCCTGACTCCTCTCCCCACCCTCCCACCCCCGCCACGCGGCCCGGGGGGTGCGGGGGCCCTGACTCCCCTCCCACCCCCGCCACGCGGCCCGGGGGGTGCGGGGGCCCTGACTCCCCTCCCCACCCAGCTACGCGGCCCGGGGGATGCGGGGTCCTGACTCCCCTCCCCACCCTCCCACCCCCGCCACGCGGCCCGGGGGGTGCGGGGCCCTGACTCCCCCTCCCCACCCCTAGCCACGCGGCCCGGGGGGTACAGGGGCCCTGACTCCCCTTCCTACTTCCCCACCCCCGCCATGCGCCCCGGGGGTATGACGCTGCTTGCCACTTCTGCGTTGCAGCCCTGGCTAATGCGGGCCCTAGGACCAGGGGTGACCTCGGGCCAGTCGAGCCCAACTTGGACCCCTCATGTGCTCAGCCTAGGATGTCCACCCACACATGCCTCCTGCTCCTTGGCCTAGGCTCTAAGGGGCAGAAGAACGGATGTGAATGTTAATGCTGGCCCTTGGGGACCATGACGGAGTTACTTCCTCAACTCTGTACATCCCTGAAGTAGCGTTTGATGTTTCAAAAAAAAAAACCCAAATTATTCCATTTTATGTCAAGTTTTGAAATTTGTGAAATAACCAATGAAATTTTTGTTTGCTCTGATTCTTATGCCCATTTTCTTTTCCTTTCTCTGTCATTTATAAACTAACCATCTTCAGGTTTTCATTAAACTGGAACCTACGTGGAGGAAAAATGTCACCAGACTTTTAAGAGAAAAAGGTAGTTGTGGAAAGACATGTAAAGCCTACCCAACAGTAGGACTCAGCAGATTACCTTTGTCCCTAAAATGAACAAATGGCCATTAGGGACAATTCAAATGCCCTCCAAGTGTACAGTGAGAGAAAATTTGCTTCTAATACAAACTTTTTTTTCTTTTCTGTTTTACCAGTTTCCAACAAACACCGTAATTAGTACATAGTTTGATTACTGTTTAGTTTTTTTTATTGTAAAGGTGATTTACAAAGGGGTTAATTACATGTCAGGTAATGAGTACATTTCTTTTTGAACAGTGTCACTCCTCTCATTTTCTCCCAATATTTCTCCTTCCCAACCTTCCTTCCAAGTTGTATAGTTCATTCTAGTGAGAATCACTGCTAAATTAGTTTGCCCTTTATCTCATCACCATTTTTGTGTTACCTCTTTCCCTCCCCATATCAGATAAACTTACAAGACAAAGGGGAAAAAAAACAAGAAAAAAAGAAAAACCACTAACAGTACAATAAAAAAGCCTGTTTATATTTCTTGGAGTTCATTTCAATAAGGATCATTTAAAATGATGATTGAGCCTTTGTGATCTGCTAAGATCCTCCTTTGGTCTCACTGTGAGAATGTTTAAAGTCCTATTTAATCATGTCAAAGTGTAACTTTTTTGTCTTTTACTATGCATTGGGTTTACTTGTAGACTTACTGGCACATTTTAATTATTACAAATGAGGGAAAACATGCAACCAGTTTCTTGTTTCTTTGGGTCTGACTTACTTTGCTTAATGTAATTTGATAACTGTGTTTTAAAAAACTGAATTCCTCTCCTCTTCTTCCCTCCCCCTCCTGCCAGTCCTGAGGCTTGAACACTGTCCCTGAGTGTCTTTTAAAAGCTCAAGGCTAGCTCTCTTACCACGTGAGCCACAGTATCACTCTGGCTTTTTCAGTTTATATACTAAGAAAACAAACCCAGGGCTTCGTGCATGCTAGGCAAGCACCCTACCACTAAGCCACGTTCCCAGCCCAAGCACTAAATTCTTTACCATCTACTAAACCCAATTCAATTTTCATTTTATTTTTTACATTGCAGACTTTATATGCTTTACTGGAAAGCATGTAGTACAATGATACCCAAGGTGAAGAAAACACATGAGGTGACACTAAAACGCAGCTTATTTATGCCTGTTATTTCCAGGCCACACAACATAGAACTAAAATATTGTGTATCTCAGTGATCTCCCTAAGTTGAAACAAAGTTGAACAGTTGGGGAGGTCAAGGCCCCTAGAATGCAAAGGGTAGAATACAAGAAAGTAGAGAGCTGCACAGACCTGCCAAGAGTTGCCATCTTCAGCTCACAGCATACCCGTGATCATACTGCTGGAGGCCAGGGAAAGACCCAAGAAGGAAGCAGAACAATCCCTGGGCCTTCCAGTTGTCATGTTCTCACCAGCCTTAATGGAGAACCACACTACACATGTGTGCCAAGTATTCAGATATTCTCTAGTGGGGGAAATTTGCCTTACTGGCTACTTTGGTCTTACCTAAGAAAGCTAAGAAACACTGACGCAAGCCATTCATACTGAAGGATGATACTAGATGGAAATCTGGCGTCTAAAATAAAGACTTCCAGACATGGCAACCATAGTGCCAAGTATTAAATAACTTTTTATAAAATCTCTCAAACGGTAACTGACTACTTAACAGAGACAGTAGCATTGCATATTGGGATCATAACAACCATGACAGAAAATGGCATCAAAAGCCAAGAGATGGGGAATGTGTACTACCAAGATTCTTACATTGTATATAAGATGATACAATATATAGCAACTTTTTTTATGGCAAGGAGGGAACAATTCAAATATCCAGTAATAGGCACTGAACAGCTATGAACTAAGATAGTATACACTCTGGGTACCATTGCTTATGTCTGTAATTCTAGCTACTTGGGAGGTGAAGATCAGGACTGTGGTCAAATCTAGACAAGGTCATAAAGTTTGAGACCCTATTTCAGTCAAAAACTGGGCTTGGTGACACATGCCTATCTTTTAAACACCTGTCACTCCAGCTTCAAGGTAAGTATAAATAAGACTGCAGTCTAGGCTAGCCTGGGTGGGCTGCAAGACTCTTATCCCTAAAATACCTACAGCAAAAAGGACCTGAGCCATGGCTTCATCAATGGAGCACCTGCTCAGCAAATACAAAACCCTAAGTTCAAACCTCAGGACTGAAAAAAAAAAAAGAAAAAAGGATGTAAAAAAGAAACAGTGAACAAATAGATGTGAAGTCAGCTCAATATAAATAATGTAACAGACTAAATATTAAATATTCACTGAATTTTAGAGGCACAGTCTGAAAAAATTCTCAATTTTTTAATATTCTTTACATGTTGAAGCAAAATTCTGGGTAAAGACACATGCAGCCTTAAAGGAGAAATCCTTCTAATTCTACATGATTGACCCTTAATGAATTAGGTAAGCTAGTCACAGTACACATGCTGCATGATCCCACTATATAAATTATCTGAAATAGTCTCAACTCACAGACAGTAGAATGGTGGTTGCCAGGAGCCAGGAAAATGGAAAGTTGTTCAACAGGTACAAAGATGAGTATAAGTTGCCACAGTTGACAGTCTTCTATTACACATTTGAAAACTGGTCAAGAGGATAGATCTTGAACTAAGTATTCACAAATACATACACAGAAAGCACAACCTCCAAAGGGACATGAAACTGGATTTGACATTTTTATATTTACCTTGATCATGGTGATCGCATCATAAATTATGCGCATGCTCAAAGCCATCAAACTGTATATATTAGATATATAGTTTTTTCACATACAATTATACTTCAATAACATTGTTAAAATACTTCTATTATTTTATGTAACGCTAAAAAAATTACATGTATGGCTTGTGTTTTAAATTTATCACACTCTCCCAACTATAGATAAGGGAACAGGGAACCTGGGAGACTTCCCTGTATGACTTCCTATTTACCAATGACTTTTGTTTGTTTCTTTTGCCAGTCTTGAAGCAGGGCCTTGGGCACTGTCCCTGAGCTGCTTTTGCTTACAGCTAGCACTCTACCACTTGAGCCACAGCACTACTTCTGGCTTTTTCTGTTTATGTGGTACTGAGGAATCGAATCCAGAGTTTCATGCATGCTAGGCAAGCACTCTACCACTAAGCCACATTCCCAGTCCCACTAACTTTTTTTTTAATGCTAATCCTGGGGCTTGAACTCAGGGCCTGGGTGCTGTCTCAGCATTTTTGCTCAAGTGCTCTACCACTTGAGCCATAGCTCCATTTCCAGCTTTTTAGAAGGGTAGATTGTTGGAGAAAAGTCTCACAGATTTTCCTGAACTGGCTTTGAACTGCGATCATCAGATTTCAGCCTGCTGAGTAGTTAGGATTATAGGTATGAACCACCAGTGGCCAGCTTCCCAATATTTCATTTTAAAGAGGGTACACACAGAATTTTTTTTTAACAAACATACCAACAAAAAACTTTAGCACTTTCTACACCAGAGACTCAGAAACGTTC